CATAAAATAAGGAATAACATTTGTACAAGATCAAGCCAAAATGTGGCTGTGAACGTGGGAGACAGTAATCAATAAACTGAGTACAATTTTGGAACAGTAAATCATATAGTAATAATCTATAGATCAAAATAAACCTTATAATAAGATGAATATGGATACACACAATCTAATTACTCAATAATTATACAATAAGAACATTTATGGAATACTAGTCTATCACTAGTTCACAGAAGTTACCCGTACTTTAATCTTCACTAGGATATAACAGTATATAGAGATGCCCTTGTTTTATTGGGTCACTTGGGAATGATAACCATTGATATCGGCTGTCCGGTGAACCTGAACTTATCAACAACCTACATTTCTCTAATATAAGTTAACCTGGCTACTAGGATCCCTCCACTTTATCTTATCACTGAGTTGTTTTCCTCATTCAACTACTATTCTATTCAAAATATTAATTTTCATTAAGAAATAGCTTTACCAACAGTGCTGTTCACTTTTTGTTTCCAATTCTCTTGACCGATTCTCTTTCATTATCTAAGACCTGTAACTTTGACGGCATGCAGACAGTGGATCCATCACACCTGAATGTGTGATTTCTCAAAGATATTGTTGAATAAGTATAAATATTCATAATGTTTGTATTTGTTGGACATTCGACATTCATTTCTTGAGCAATTTGAAATCACTGGCAACAGTTCAGAGTAAAATGAAATCGAAATAAACTAAAAAGAGATTGCGGTTTTTATTAATCTAATTTTGAATTACCTATTTCTAACGTCAAATAATTGTTATTGAATCAATTTTGTTTTGTTTTTATTCTCTCACTAGGTAACTTACGTACGTTCATTTTGCTCGGTTCGATATATAGTTAAATTCTTACCAAACGGTTCATTGGCTCCGAGATTAAATATTGATAGTAATGTATTATTAAGTAAAATCTCAGAATATGATGATTGTGATTGTTCGGCATCAGATTCCAATGTGGTAAGCCCATTTATTATTATTATTATTATTTGAACTTACTATGCTATTTGTTTTGCATGTACACAATTATTTACACTTCATATTTGGTAGGTATATTAGGTTTTTTTATGATTAATAAGAGCAGGTCTGTCCTGTGTTTATTAAACCTAACCATTTTTTAAGTTGCTGATGTTTAACGACTCACGGAGTTTCATCATTGTCATCTTCTAAGGATCACTAAAATGACATCCGGTGGAAAAGTCATGGTAGTAATGTGACCCGGTAATTTGTTTGTTATGTGAACAGAGAAACAAGAGGCCTTGACAAACTAGGGAAGCTATTTTGAGGGACGTTATTTCACTTAATTCAAAGCTTGTATAATAGTAACAGAATAGGAATGGAGGAGAGGTGGTCAGTTTATGACGTGACACCGTGGTTTGAAGGGAAGCTGTGTAAGACTGGTATCTAAGTCACCCTCAATGTTTTATCACTTTTCACTAATGCCATCGCTTTCGTGTAACCATTTGTCTTATCTGCAAAGACATCGGTAATGCTATGGTAAACACTAATGTACAATAAATAAATAAATAATTACTTGGGTATGGATCATACTCTAAATGTGTAGAATACCGACTCCCTATCTAGAAGTATTATCATAAAGAGATGTATCTTCAATTTACTTTTCACGTTTAACGATACAATTTGCAAGGATCTTCCCCTATATCTCCTATTAATTAATTTATGAATAAGAGAAGAATCATTTCTTCTTCAGTCATTTTCAAGATCCATATTATAAAATGGATCTTAACAAGAATTCCTTTTGATAGAAACTCTATACTATACTAGTTATTAAAATGTTTAATAGTTTCATTATTTAATAATCACAATAATTAATCTCCTTTTTTTATTGTTTATTCCACATATTATTTTGTTTTAGTTATATATTTCAAGTTATACAGATCCTATCAACAGTAATGATGATGATTGTGAAATAAAATCTATAAAAAACAATACTGGTGATAATGATAATCACAAATTAATTATGAAATCAAAGAAAACACAGTACAGTAATTATAGGTATGGTGGAAAAAATAAAAGAGGTATGTGATTTTATCTTTTGTATAATTTTGGTAAATTGAATGTAAAGTTTTGCGTACTGTTGCAAAAAATAATTTTATGATAGTAGATAGTTCGAGCTGATCGACAGGAACTCCTAGATTAGGTCTTCTGCTAGTTGACACTTATCAGCAAGATGTAAAGGAAATCCTACAGATGGGATTAGTTCGCACACGATTTTATCTACACCTTGCCTACGAGGATCAATCATCATCAAACCTATGTCTAGGGTATCCTACAGATTAGCTCCAACCAATTCTGTCAGGATTGCAGGTATGCTTTGCTAACAAGTGTCAAGTAGCACGAAACGCAGATTGAGCAACGTTTCTTGCCGACTGTCTCCAAACACTTAACGTTATCAGCATAGTGCAAGTGCGACATAATCTGTAAAATTAGATCAGCACCAAAGGACTACACAAATATGAAATTGGTCATAGCTGATGATTCGTAAAGATCATTTTATGTGCACATACCGTAAGATATGTCAGTGTTATTTGCACTAAAGTGCAACTGCTGTGTCCTTAGCTTATAAGATTATCGCGAAATCCGATTGCCAATTTAGATACGCTGACTAATACGACCAACTAATGCCACATACACCTATGCGAACAGCCTAGAGTCCCGATTGGTCCTTTTTACGCTTAGCCCTGCCTGTTAAGTCCAGAACACCAATATCAGCCTCCGCTATCCAGATCATATATTTCAGACATACTGGGTTTATATACAGATAAACCAGACCAGACCAGACCAGATCATACCATAAAATAGAAAATAACAATTATACAAGACCAAGAAAAAACGTGGCTGTGATTGTGAGAGACTGTTACTAATAAATTGGAAATATCTTAAGGATAGTAAATTGTATGACAATAGTTTTTTTGCCCCGATAAGGATAATGAATGGTAACTTTGGGATCTATTTATGAACCAATACTATTAGCGACATAATAGGTGGTTGATATCAGTCACTCTTTTTTCAATAAATAACACGTAGATTCCAATAAAATAACAGTCAGTCAGCTACAGCGTAGGACCAGGCACACAAATGTATCGATCCAAGCTACCACACCTCATTAGCACAACGAGATGAACACTGAATTCATAGAAGTAGTTAATTTAGTGGTGGTAATATATAAAAGAAAGGTTGTATATAATAATATAAGAGAAAAACATGCACTAGCCCTATCCGGCACTCTAAACAACTGAGTTTTGACTTAATATAATGGTAGTAGTTAAAGCAAAAACAGTGAATACAGTTATTAAAAAAGACGCATTTAGTCAATTGATGAATTATGAAAAAATGAAACGCACGATTTTGTAGAAAATAAACTGTGAATACATCTGTGATATTGCAGCCGATTTCAAGCTGTATCATAGATAAAATCTCAAAACGCTATCCATTGTGATTATCATGTGGACGTGAAACAGAAAGTCAACGCCTTGGCACAATTCAAACCCCACTACTGATCAGTCGCTTTATGAACACTGATAATACATGTTTTTAGCTTGACTTCTTCTAACTTGTTCCTATGTGCAAACGACCACCATTGCACATATTTTAGTAGACAGTTGAATGTTTGAATTTGCCAGACTTTTGAATTGTTGTAAGTATGCTTATTTTTATTATTGTTGAGTAGTCAATTACTAACCGTAAACGTTTTTTATTCATACTGAAAAATATTTCTTATATAGGAAAGCGCCTTAAAGAGTCTACTAAGAATAATGGCAAATTGTATCATAATAATAATACATCAGATACTACAGACAGCTCTGATGAACATTTTCATTCATCATCTAGATCAAATCGTATTTCACAATTGTAAGCTGAAATTTCTCGTTTAAGATCACAAATTGCTCAGTTAAGTTCAGCTCAAGAATCAGGCAAATCAAGCACATGTGACTTAGAACGAGATCGATTTCCTCATCGTCCAGATGCAGATGGTGAGAGTGATACTGCCATCGCTGCCACAGGATCACCTAGTTTAATGCAACATGATGAAACAAAGTTTAACAACAATTTGTCAGAATCTCCTATTCCTTCAGCTAGTTTAACTTCAACATCATTAATACTACCGCCACCGCCACCACCACCGCCCATGATTTCTTCACCTGCACTACAAGGAGGAGCAAATGGTAGTAGCAATTGGAGAGAACAATTGCAAGCAAGGTTAAGAAGTAAAAAGGTATAGTTCAAAGAAATTTAGTCCTCTCTATGTATGTGATTTTTATTTCACAGCTAGGAACTATTTTGATAATTAATCGTTGGTTGTTTTCGGTTAGACCAAACGGCAAGCTTTATTTCTGTATACATCACATTTCATGCTACAATTTTGAGTAGACTTTAAGCATAAAATTGTCCTTTTTAATATTTGAATTATCACTCATAAGTATTTTGTTAAGATCACAATATATTTGATGATGAACCTTTTTTCTGGTGTCTATTGGAAAAGGCACTAATTATTGCATTACACTGTTCCTTTTTCATACACATATTCAAACATCTTTAATATTTAACAATTTGTTTCCTTTTTTATTATTTGTTTAATTAAACACGTAAACATTGGTACAAAGAGGTACCAAAATATATACAGCGGAGTTTCCATTTCTATTAGCTGACAATTAAATTCTCTTCTGTTTAATACTATGAGTTACTGAGGGAGAAGTAGCTACCAATCCTTGGATTTTAACATTTCCTAATTTGTTATCACATTTAATACTGGTAATATCCTATTCACATTGATTGATCACTGAATAGTTGTGATTGTCATGTTTGTTTAGTATTGCTTTAGTATTGCTAAACTTCTGTTGATTTATAAGTTACTACTCTAAGCGATCTTACATCTTGTGCGCTATATTTTAGTTTAGTCTGCAGAAGACCCTGTTCGATATGGGTTTTGTGGTAGTTAGCACTTATCAGCAAAGTGTAACTGGCAATCTCTTGAGAAGTTATTCTTCCTAGTGGGTTGGAACATGACTTTCCGTGTTACATGGTCTTAGACGTTGCCAGTGAACTATTTGGGTAGTGATCTACCTCCTGGAATACTGAGATACTTACATTAGTTGATCATTGAATATTGGTCTTCATCCATTAATCTTTTCTGATTGTAGTTGACTATTGATCATGCATATAATTTGTATTTTGGATGAGCAATTTAACATGTAATTATTGTTGCATATTTATTTAACTACTAATGTACTTCTTGCTAGTAGTTCAGTGAATGTTATTTGTTTTTATACGAACGAAATTTCTGTTGAACTACTGATGAGTTGTTATGTGGAGAATTCCACTTTTGGTATAATGATGGTGATTAATGGACATTCGGTAAAGTAATTACGAATTTAGAGCTGTGGGTTCACACTAATAAGGAGAATATTTTGATTGGATGCCAAAGCTATAAACATGGGAACTTTTATCTTCTTATTTATTCTTATTGATTTCGGGGAAATTGTTTCCTTATTTCAGTTATAAAATAACTTTGTATATCTTTTTCAGAATAATTCCACAGATAAAACATCTACACCAATAAAAAGTTATTTGTGGATATCACAAAGTCCTGCTGATATGTCAGAAGTATTGAAAGAATTACAAAGTGGATCCATTAAACTACGTTCAATACCAAGATCACCCGGTGGCACACCGATAAAACAGAAACATTCTCCTACAATCAGGTGAGAATATTTCGTATGTGTAGTGAGAGCCAATTTTCACCACAGTTCTATAACTATTAAAAGTGTGGTCATTTGTTTGTTTGTTCCAGTGGCTCTGATCCATGTGCAATTATCACTCGGGCATTACACTCTAAATTTTCACATCTTCGTTCTATGATGGACAGTTCTACTAGTGATGAAGAAGAAAACCAGTCAGATAATCATCTTGACTCTGGTCCGCGCTGGGGTCCCGTTTTTCTCATCGAGTGGTCAATGACTGGAACGCTTTACCAGAACAAGTGGTATCAGCACCATCAGTGAACATTTTCAAAAAGAAGCTGGACCTTCACTGGAAGGAAATCTGTCAGGATTAACACAGGTTCATCAACCTACTATCCTTATCACTGAAGACTGAAGACTGAAGACACCTTCAGTTAGGAATCGCGGTGTCTTGGAGTAGGTTGTTTTTTTGTCGGCTAACTTCCTCAGTAAAAGTATACATGTCAAAAGTGATCGTTTGCTACTAGATACGGAATCAAACTAAGCGAAAGTTTTTTTTATTCAATTCAGAGCGATTTCAATCTTTTAATTTCTTTGTTACTATAGTAACGACAAGTCGTCGGAAATTTAGGGGAAAAATATCGTTTTCGTGGAATATTTATGGGAGCAATAGACCATTTAGCGGATATTTAGGGGAAAAATAGACAATTTAGCGACATTTGGAACAGTGCGACGCAAAGGGGATCAGACTATACAGGTCATATAAGTCATTGTTAAAGTGCGGTGATGACTGATAGTAAACAAATATTACAAAATTGTCACGAAGACAAATGATTCAAATAAATTATTTGACACATTGGCAGAAAGGCACATGAATTTCGAAAAAATTGTTTTAATTAGCCACACTCATAAAAATACATATTAGGGTAGAAACGCAGAGCGTGGGTAGTTAAACGTATATCAACATGACAACAATTGAGTATGGTGGAGGGCCATCACTTGAGCAACGTCGGGCATTTGCAAATTTGGAAGATGGGGGACATGTGCCTGGGTAAATTACTTTTGTCAACCATATTGAATTTCCATTTTTAAGAACACAGGACTTTATTGAAAAATTGTTGAATATTAGTTAGAAGTTTATATCAATAGTTATCACTTCGGGCAATATTTTAAATGAAAACTTCTGAATAGAAATGTAAATTTTTATCTTGGCCAGAGATATATACTGAATAGGAAATCTAATTTCGCATTTTTATTTGACTACACAACTAACTAATGTATTTTTTATGATTGTATGCACAATGACTTTTCAAAATGTATATAGAATAGAGACTAATGGATTGAGGGGTTTCAACTTGTCGTCCTCATAAGAAGTGTTATTTGTTTTGGAATACAGTCTTTGGTATCTTAGGAATAACAATCATGTCTTTGTGACTTAATTTTTAGTGGCTTGTTGCTCTAGCTGCAGTTTGATTTTACTTGATTCACTTTAGAAAATAATAGGATGAAATACGTTGAGTCAGGGAATGGGTTTTGGTTACTTACATTTATTCACTCGTTCCGCCAGACAATAAGAGAAATGTAGCTGAGAAGAACCGGGGAAAGTAAACATATTAGCTCGCTATACTACTCGTTAAAAACGTTAATATAGCTCAAAACGTACAGTTGGTAGTGTGGCAAAGAGGCAGGCATTGTATAAAACAATGAGTGGCAGACAAACACACAAGGCTCATAAGTGTGGAAATAGAACGACAAAAAGTAAGGGATCTATGTTAGCTGAAGCGCACAATTTCATATAAAAAGAACAGGGTTAACGTGAAAGTTAAAATAAATCAAAGTTAGGTGCTGTTTAAGGTACTAAAGTCCATTCAACAGTTTTCTTGAATCATCTAATTGTCAATTGGTACTACAAACTACAGTTTAAAACGCTTGGTCCGTGCTTTACTAGACGAATGGTGTTAACCTAAATATAGAATATAAGAATACTAAACCCAACACGTCTTCAACAGTTAAGTTGGTAAATTGGTAGTGCCATATTGTAGCTGAAAGAAACATGTGTGGGTAGTTAAGGTAAGGGATTCATCAAAGTAAGTTTTTCGATGGATGGTTAGGATACAACTGTGATCTTGTCAGTTTTTATGGCCTTAATTAACTGCACGTATGGATTTAAACACCAACGACATGTTCTAAACTACGATGCACACAATGCTTGGTGTACGCGCTTGTTATCTATTCATGTGATCGTTTTTAACTTGATAAACTTGGATCTTTGGGCAAATATTCTATTTTATAAATTTAAGTGTTGGTTTTGTTCAGGATTTAAGAAACACATAAAATACATTATTATCTTGGTACAAATGAAATTGGTATTACGTTAATTCTTCCAATTTATTGTACTTTGCCTAGTTGTCTTTATTTATTTCTATATTCATACATCTGATAAGAAAACACTAAGGAATAGTGGTCAGTGCTATAATTTCATTAAAAGAGGTTGAGGGTTTCAGATAAAGCCACATTAATATTTTTAAGTACATCTGAGGATCGTTTACTAGTAATTTCGGGTTTTTTTGTGTGTCAGTATAGACTTGTAGTCGACCAACATTTACAGCTCATTAAATAAGCTGAGTTCTAGGGAAAAGTCTTGCGCGTAACTTTTGAATACATCTTTCGGTTTACTCTGAAAACTGACCTCAACACAACTTCTTATAAGTTACTTATAGAGTTTATTTCATTTCTTTATATATATATATACTTAGTTCACAACTATAATTAGGTTTACTTAGAACTGCTGTTTATGTTGTTAATCTTTTTGTTGTGCGGCAATTAAATAATGACGTTTTGGATGGATAAGCATTCATTGTGATCCCATAATTGTTGTTAACTATTGTTCTCTCTGTCAAAATCCGTGAAATTTCTAAGTATTTTATTAGATAGCCATAAGAAATGAATATGTGCTATGTGTAACCAGGAATTGATATATTCATAGATTGACATTTGGTCATATAAATTAGAAATGAGAGGTTAAGTTCATCTCATAGTTTTTCAGATATTCGAGTTGTCTTAAAGATGTAAATTTTGGTTTTCTTTAAAAAAGATGTTATTTTCCATGAGACTCTATTTGATAGATTAAAGTTGCTTATGTGGAATTCCTGTTCGAATTTATTCCGCCACAGAATGAATCGAGATCCGATTTTATATAGGTTATTTCTTGATGAATGTATTATCGTACTATAAGAAAAAACAATGGACATAGTTATTTGTTGATCTCTTTCTGGTAGTTAGGAATTGCAACGGAGATAACTTTTAGATTTAAGGCAGTGTAAATTAATCTGAAAATGCGTGCCGTACACATATCGTTTAATCCTGAGAAATATTAACACATTAGAAATTAATGGATTTACTTATTCATTAGTAAAATTAATAAGCATATTCATAAATTTCTCAACTACTTCCTGGATAGTCTGAAATAGTCATTATAGAAAGCAATGAAATAGAGTTATAGTATTGACAATAAAATAATAATATATTCTTTTTACCCAAGTGACATAAATATATCATTATTTTATTATTTTCTGCTCAATGCTCAGTTAGTAGTAGTAGTAGTAGTATCTTTCAAATGATTAAATGTTCAACCATCATTTTATTCATTTGATGCGAACATTTTGTTTATATTTAATGAAATTCGAATATCTTCAAGACTAATTATGTTCAATGTAAAATAGAAGTTGAAGTGTTTGTAAGAAAATATATTTATAGTGAAATGGTTAAATTATAGGTTTCTTTGTAATACCGCTTATAAGAATGGTTTATAAAGTATATTTATTTAAACACATAAATGTTCGTATAAAGGGGCACCAGTTATATATGCGCCACACAAATCTCATTTGATTAGTGTGAGGGCTGTGATACTGCCCGGCTACCCAGAGCTAAACAGATGGTTTTCTTAGGGGACCACACACGGAACCTTCGAGCATAAGATCTGATCCACAATGCAGTGGAGCATCGTAAGGAGATGCAGTCCCATGGTAGCCGGTGACCAACGATTGATTCACACACCATTTGTTATTTTAGGGTACTGGAGCCCATATGCACCACTGGTTTCGAACCATGATTTTCCAACTCCCCTAGGTGGACTTTCCGTGTCCATCAATCCGGTTAAAGCACCGGGCATCCGCTTTTCGTCCTCTCAATTTCGTAAACAACATCGGTGTCACGAGAAAGCAGTGAGTAGGACTTCTCTGGCAGAGGCTACATACGCGTGGCCATATGAGAGCATTTTGAGAGGGAGAGGGGACTCTACACATTCATAGCTGTACCAGGGCATTTTGGGGCTATGAATGAAAGTGCTCACAGTAGATTATAAAGTTAAACCATAAATTTAGTAGCTTTAGCATGAGATTTACAGACAGTCGTAAAATCTCACTATGACGATTCCGTACAAATGAAGGTGTATGCACTCTTTATCTTCCTTTAAACCTTAAGATTGAAATCGCTGCTAACGAGGTATGGTAACTTGGACCGATGCATAAATGTGCCTGGTCCTGCGTTGTAGCTGACTAACTGACTGACAAATGAAGGTTGGTCATGTACACCTGATGAGTTGGTTAATATAAATATTATTTGTACATTCATGTAAGAGTAAATCATTTAAAGTCTACAGACATTTGGACTTCGATGAATATTAAATTCAATCAAATTTGTGTAACTTAATTTTAATTTTACTTTTAGGTATATGGGATTTTGTCCACAATTTAAATATAGATATGGTCATACTTTTGGTAAAGAAACATCAGAAATAGCTAAAGTAACTTGTTTGTTTGTTTGAATGAACTCATTTTAAATTATATGGAATCTACCATATTATTTTGGGCCAAGAATTCAAGTGAGTAATATCTATTTTTTCATAAATGATTGATTCCCCGTAGGGATCACATCATTTTTACCCTGTTACTAGGGAGAATAATAAATTTGATCCATTAAGATCTAAGTTTAATTATGATGTTCCTGGAAGAATGTTACCAAAATCAACAGGAGATAATAAATATACAGAAGGAATGATACCAGGATATTCTGGTATGTATACACTATTCATACACTATTTCAATGATTATTATTTTATAGGTAATATACCACAAATGAATTTTAAATTTGGTCGAACATATCGTAATCTATCTGATGAATGCGTTGATCAATTAGTTAAAGAATATAAATCTTCTGAGTTAAGACAAAACAGATTAAAAGAATCATCCAACTTGATGACTAATCTTCATCCTGTAACATATGATCCTTTAGTTAAGAATCATTTAAATACATGGACTGACGATATGGTTAAGAAGAATTCTGATGTTCATTCGTATATGAGTTCAAATGAACCGCCTATTCCTGGTTACAAAGGTTTTATACCTCGTATGGATACATAAGAAAGTGGTTTAGCTAAACGTTTTCATGAAGCTGCTCAAAGTAGTTTAGAAACATTTAGAGCTGAATGTAAAAATCATTTTGATCATATGGATATGCCGATGACTAGATTAGATACGTAAGTTGAAAAGATTTTATATACCGTTTGTGTAAAGAATAAAGGTAAACGTTAAGCCGTTTTGTTCTTATTATGAATTGATTCAATATAACAAAAGATGAAACTGTAAAGATGAGAAGTCAGAATAGTAGGAGGTTTCTTCCTGCCAGACATACAAAGAGTAGTTTGTGTAGAAGGAACTTGTTTCTAAGAATGGAAAAGTAATACGAACAACACTTCTCTAAATATTGAAACAAAATCAATATTTCCAGGGTGGGTTTATTGTAAAGACACAGAGAAAGGTTGAATTTTGTATAGTTACAGCTTTGGGTAACCTAAATATTTGGGTTAAGTAACTTTTATACGAAAGCTAAATGTGTGATTTAAGATTCATCTTGTAACTCATTTCAGCAGTGGTGACAAATGACAGAAGATAAGTTTGCATTATCTCTTATTAGATTAATGGAATTGATCTGTTCTTACTAGATATTTAGATGTATGTCCGCCTGTAGCTACTCCGGGGGCTATTACCTGTCCCAAGCCCGGGTAAAGGAGGGGGTTGGGCATGAGGTTAGCGACCCCATCCCGTAGAAAACCAACTCGCTAAAAAAACACTAACTAGAAGTAATGTCCAAAGATAATTTGCATCCGTTTTCTCATTATATTATCTAAATCAATCTTTTTGATTAAATTGACCAGTAGGTGGTTTTAATCATCATTAACATGGGATATCAAGATTCCTTGCTGAGACTTCAACTTAAAGACTAAGTTATACTTAAGATTCCAGAAATAATGCTACTATATTTGTTTTGAAATACAGTCTTATAATGGTAAACAATAACGTCACTTAGTATGTACATATCTCATATGTTACGGTATCAGTCACGCCCTCAAGATATAGTCATATAAAATTGTGCTCTGCGAACAATTTCATCACAATTAAATTTGAACATGTACCATAGATGTTAAATGATAACAAATAACCATATCAAGGGGAACCGTAAGACTTTGATGAAAGTAAATTAATCTCTTAATCTATAAATTTAGTCGATTGATAGCAACAAATAAGGTTCCAAAGAAGAGAACAAACAAGAATATGAAATGTTGAATGGAGAAAGAAATAGCACAATAGAAATGAATAATGAACTAAATGATTGAAAATACAGGGCATTTGTTTATTTTTCCGAACAGAACAAATCATGTATTACTGTATGCAAACTGAAAACTACTGAATATTTATAAGTAGTATAGGTTTATGCACAAAATAAGAAGCATAAAAAGAAGTACAATAAATTGTTTCTTCAATTATAATCAGTGTTAATATGAATATCCAGTAGTACACAAACTCATGAATGGTGTTCCTTTGAACTTGTGTAAACGATCAAAAAATTATCAACGATAGTTCTTGAGTATCAACAATAGGAAATTACAACCTGCTTAACAAGTTAGTGATTGACTATGTGAAATCAGTAGGCCAATGAATAAAACTTGGAGATTTAGAGTGATAAGTACGAAATTTGAGTGTCGGCATGAAAATAAATACAGTGATGCAGGTACATCTAGCACACAAGTCTGAAATATGACAAAATGCGTCTCACGAATTCCACTTATGGCCATTTACTGTACAAACTATATCATTATGTTCTGAATACAATATCAGGTAAAATCCAGGACTAAATAGGATGGCTATTGGTGAAATATTTCAAACTAGAACAAAATCAATGTTCAATGAACATTGATATTTATAAATTCTCTAACCAATTCTCTAACTTAAATCTACACAAAACTCCCTTCTAATAATGATCATATGCTCACTAGTGACAGGCTCCAAGAGGTGTTTCTTGGAGTTCTAGTGATAAGCAGTAACCAGTGGAGTTCAAGCAGGTCTGTTGTGATATATCAACTCACTAAAGACATTGATGAATGGTTGCTCAATTTCGTGGATTAGTTGAAGTTAGACATTAACACCGTTGGCTGCCGGCAGGCTTAGTGGTCTAGTGGTTTGTTTGTAATTTAAGTAGTTGAATATGATCTTACCATTTGAATACCATATATTCTACATTGAAATTGTCATTTCTTATTTTTAGTTCATCACGTCCACATAGTTCAATACCATATACACCAAATAGTAATTATTATAGTGCAAGAATATTTCATCAAGAAGGTATGATACCAGATTATGAAGTTCATATACATGGTAAGTGAACTACTCTTATCATTATTATTTAGATTAAAGTGATGTAATCTACTTGTTACTATGGAACTTTTTTGTTTTTATATAAGTAACCAAATGATCCAAGCATATTAGGTAACAATTTCAGTCAAGTAAACCTAAAATGGTGAAAAACACTTGTCAGTTCTCTTGCTTATGTAGTGAACAAGAACACGACTGGGGGGACAATTGAATGTATTTAAGCAAAAAATTACAGACTATCCCACTAAATTCTGATAATCATACAATGGACAGTTAACTTGCAAAATAACCATCAATGGTCTCAATCACTACTATTCCTTCTGTAAATATAAGTTCACCTTCTCTAATTTCATTGTTCATGCATTTTCCTACCAATTGCGCTTCATTTCAGTTCTTTCCTCATCGGTCTTCTGCCAAAATACATTCTATGTCTGACCATCACCATATACTACTTATATGGATATAAGTAATCCACATCACACGCTTGATATAACAAAATGACATAGAGAGATATTTCAGTTTCATCATGGTAATTGATGATTATTTAGTCATTTAAATGTTCTGTTTTATATTTCATCTTATCAATCTTTATTCGTACCACAGTTATGTTTATTCATGGTTAAACTGTATGAATGAGTCTTGTTAAACTATATGAAATGTTCATTTAGTATTGTTTGTTTGAATCTTCCCATCGTACAAGCAAGTGGCTATCAGGACTCGGTGGCCGAGTGGATAACGCGATGGCGTTTGAAGCGAAAGGTACTTGGTTTGAGTCTCAGAGTGAATATCAAGTCTGAGATGTAGGTACATCCAGCTGACAAGTCCCAAATAGAAGGAAACGCTTGTGCTGGATTTCACTGCTAGCCACTATCCATCTTTGCTTATATGAAATGTTTCTTAAATGAATTAAGTAATAAAAATGATGATTTAAGTTTGTGAAGATTCAAACTGCAGTTTATGAGAGACAAAACTCTTTAATATCACATTCAATCTTCATGTGGAGAATGATATTCGGTGGCCTATGCTGCTTTGGGAGTAACAGGCGAATGTAAGTAAGTAGGTAAGTAATTGAGTACGTAAGTAAGTAAGTGAGTAAGTAAGTAAGTAGGTAAGTGAGTACCTAAGTAAGTAAATGTATTTCACAAACATTGATATCTATTGTCAATTGTATAAACTTGTATTCAGTTATGGTGTAATGAACAGAACACTAGTTGGGGACGATCGAATGTATTTAAGCAAAGACTACAGACTATCTCAATAAATTCTGATTACCAAACAATGAACAGTCAATTTGCAAATTAACAACCAATTGTTTCAATCTTCACTGTTTCTTCTCTTATTCCATTGTTCATGCATTTTCCAGACGTTTGCGTTTCATTTCAGTTCTTTCTTCATCGGTCTTCTGCCAAAATACATTCTATGTCTGACCCACACCATATACTACTTATATGGATATAAGTAGATCACACGACAATGGAACCTTGAAAAGACTCCGTTTTATTGCAGTCATAATGGGAGAATAAAGCACCCTCAAAAATTGATTTTGTAGCCTATAAAATTATTATTAAAAAAACACTGGTAGGTCCTGGGTTCATATCTCGCGAGTGCGAGATCGTGGATGTGCACTGACACTAAAGTGTCCCACAAAAGGACGAAACGGCCGTCCAGTGCTTCCAGGTTTTTCATAGTGGTCTAGCTTCAATCGACTCATGATTTCAACTATGAAAAGAGCAATTTTGTCAATTTTCCTTTTTTTATTTCTATTTTGTGAATAGGTTATCAATATCATGTTGGAAAGAATTTTGGTAATACAACACGTGATTTAGAAGTATGTGCTCATCCATACTCTTGTTATGGAGAATATTTAAAAATAAAAGATTTAACTAAAAAATATCTTTCATAGTAACAAAAACCAACGTAAAACCAGGCACATTTACACATCGGTCCAAGTTGTCATACCTCACTCATTAGCACAACAAGATGATCAGCGAATTCATAGAAGTAGTTAAGTTAGTGGTGGTAATATCTACAAAAGAAAGGTTTTATATAAGGATATAGTATAGGAAGGAAGAAAGTAATGAAGCAATTTTAATCTGAAGGTTTAAGGGAAGTTAAAGAGTGTATAAACCTACGCCATTGTGATTGATTCTGAGCCATCTCATCTTACATTTCATGTTTGCTCTCTACATTAAATGTTGATTTTTATAACAATCTGATCATGCCTGTAAACTGGTGTGAATTCTGTAAATATTATTTTCAGAATATCTATTATTATTATTATGGTGATTAAAATGAGTTTCCATCTTAAGCTTTCCTCTTTCTATGCCATTTTCCTATGGTTTCATGGCATCAATTGCAGTTTTAACCTTTCTGTCAAACATAGCTTCTGCTGTAGACAATTGGTTAGGGCTGATGCATTCAGAGTTATTCTGTATACCGAAAGAGAACCATCAATAAAAGTTTTTTTTATCTTCTCCTCTTTAACCTTTTGTAGTGCTCTCCAATGTGCCCTGAAATCTAAAAATGAAAATCATATATTCCGAAATATGAAGTTGACTATGAGACAGGAGCGTTGCAGATCATTCATAAAACCAAATTAAGTCTTTCGACAGGTGCACACACATAGCTTCTTTTAATTTAAAAAATGTTGGAAATTTACTGTCAGATTTATGCGTATGCAAACAGTGTGTAATGACTATTACACTGTCAGGAAGCTAGCTGAATCATTGTCCTGTATATTCCTTTGCATACCACATTCACAAATGTGTTTACAGGTTATTAACTCCCATATATATTTGTAAAATATGTGACGTTCTCCTGATTTTCAACACACGAATATATTCCAATACCATTCTATCGCTTGAGGTGATCAGCTTCAATCAGTTATAATTTTCATTTATACTGATCTGTATTTGCCTACATCGAAATTTCCCTCTTGTCATACAATTTATCGTCGATTTGAGGACTAAATTCTTTACATTCTAAGACGAACTACATACCATGGCAAATAAGCTTGCAGTGAACGGTGAATTAGTGTGCGAAACCAATTCATCATTTCGTTCGAAATTCTAGAGTGTCTTTAAAAATTATAGAAATTACACATTAAATACTTCACTTGTACACCATCTATCGGTTTTCATTTACATTCTTCATGATTTTGTCAAGTGTGTTTGTATACCGATTGCACATCAGGATTATCACACTTGCTCAATATTTTTACGGCTGCATTGATTCACCTCATCATCATATCCGATTTAAATGAAGAATGACAAGATCATTTACAGAGTATCAAAGAACTAGTAGACAACAATCTGCAACCAACAGGGATAAGGCCTGACACATATAAAGAAGACGGTAGTAAGTAGTTGACTTTGGTAGATGTGATATCCAAAATAAAAGATAATTATTTCTTTATGATAAGGATGTGTTTGATTTATCTCATTGACGAATTTGAAGATTGAATTTCGATCAGTCTTTAAAGCATATTTACGAATTGTGGGATTCGGATTGATCTAAGCATTGGGACACTAGTTATTTACAATTGATGGATTGTAGCGGGCAGTGTAATCCAGGATTCGTTTCTCATCCTTTTTGAGGTTCGCCAAGCGAAAGCATCAATATCAGTATTGATTTCTACACCGAGATTAGAACCAAATACCATCCACTTCATGTAGTTCATATTTATACATGAACTCGGGTTTGAGAAGTTAGTTCCAGAATGTTCAATGATATGAGTAGATTGCAGTTAACATCGTGATTCACGGAAATCAGCTATCATTTTGACGAGTGACTGTCGTCTAACTGTTTTATTCACTATATCCCTCATACTATTCTCATTTTCATCACTAACTAGTTCGATTCTTATTGCAGGTAAACCATATTAAAACTCAAACATCAATTGATAGACATTTAATTTCACACATTACAGTCGTTTACTGCATCAATGTTTTCAACATAAACAAATAAGAGTTAGTTAATATTAACGGTGAATATTGTTAATGAAAGAAGAAATTTGTGATTGATTATTTAGACAGTTAATTAATTGTTACAACAATATGAGTAAATGAGAAATGAGTTAGGTCCAGTTCAGCGTTCGCAAATTCAAATTCGTTTATTTTCCATCGTTACCTGGAATTCTAACAGAAACATAAGAATGATTAGTAATATGATAAATCATACAAGTGTACATTCGAAATGAACGACTGGACAAAAGTAACACTGTTTAATGGGTCTTGATCAACATGCATGTATTCATTTGATCAAACATGGTGCAGATCCCACTGGAGTAATGGATCAGAAAATCACCATGTTATCGAGTGTCAACTGCAACAGTAAACATTCATTCAAATCTACTTTTCCTTAGACTGTCTCTCAAATATCCATCTGAATAGATATTTCAATTCAAAAGCAACTGTGTATTAAATCGAGTGAACCGACGTTTAGTTGTACGTAACTCTAATTTGCGTATTTCAATTATCCAAACACACAATAGGTCGTCTTCATGCAACATACAACACATACTACATAATATTGTCAGTAGATTTGATTCAATAGGTTACTTACTCATCGCTTCGAGCATTTGTGATAGAAAACTATGAATAACTGAAATGTGGGAAAATGAAATAAAACCGCTAAATGACTGAATGTTCATTTACTTCAATATCTATCTCATCATTAATGAGAAAACTAAGAAAATAAATCGGTGGTTATTTTCCGTTTATGTCACATATGGTGTTTGTATAGGCAATTGTTCAAAACGTTTTACTAGTTCAACAATGTTCATGTGAATGTGATGTGTTGGCTGAATACTTGCATTTTGTTTCTCGGTTAGCCAAGTTTGTTCTATCGAATTGGCCGGCATCGTGAAACGCAACCTCACTATCTCAACTTTGATATTTGAATGGAGAACTATCACAAATATGGTGGATGCGTTGATTAAGAATGTTCGAGCTCGGATTAGTACAAACAAACTGTTCAATTTCATTTGAAGCTTCCGTGTTATTGTGATTGCGTTCATTCATTAAACCATCAGGTTGAAGCTTCTGTAGACACTTCACATAGTATTACAGTTTGTGGATAACCATTATTCAGTGAATTACATGTGGACATGACATAGTTATTCAATAAAACAATCAAAATATTCAAATATTTTATCTTACAGGATTCCATATCCAAATGTTCAACATCAACGTATTTCAAATAAATCTGTTCATCAATTTGTTCCACATCTGAAATACAAAATAAAATCGGTTAGGAAATCATTCATGAATATCGTTTATTTGAAGGAGTCATTCAACGTGTTTTCAGCATCAAAGTAATGGAAGCTTCTGTAGACACTTCACATAGTATTACAGTTTGTGGATAACCATTATTCAGTGAATTACATGTGGACATGACATAGTTATTCAATAAAACAATCAAAATATTCAAATATTTTATCTTACAGGATTCCATATCCAAATGTTCAACATCAACGTTTTTCAAAGAAATCTGTTCATCAATTTGTTCCACATCTGAAATACAAAATAAAATCGGTTAGGAAATCATTCATGAATATCGTTTATTTGAAGGAGTCATTCAACGTGTTTTCAGCATCAAAGTAATGGAAATCACCATATGTGAGGACAACATGGATGGTGGATAAATAACGGAGAGTCACATTGTCCTTTTCGCCATTTCTCGATATCCCCACTCATTTGTCAAAGTCCCTGTGAATATTTAGTCCATGCTTTTACCTTTTAATCATTTGACGAGATTTGTTCTGTAACATGAATCAATTCCTTCATGAATATTAAATGCGTTAATATTAAACAGAACATGATCGGTTCTGTGATTTTATGATTGAGGAAACACGAGTTCAGTGTACCTAAGGAAAACAATTAGATATTCTGGAAAACACATTTGAAGATTAGTGGAAAGTATTGGTGAGAATGAATTACAGTAAGGAATGTCAGGTTATATCTGTCATATTCATTAATATCAATAGAGTGATAATTAAAGTAAATTTACATTTTGGATATGTTGGTATCAGCTCGTTACATTTTATGAGTTCGCTCATAGATTCCATATCTAATTCGTTTACGGAAGAAATAATAAAAAAAGACAAATCACTTCACTAGTTGTATATTCAGTCTGATTAGAAACCATATTGATCTGGAATAAATAAATTGTGATCAGAGATGTATGGTGACTGATGGAGGAGAAATAGGCTTCTTAACTGAATACCATTGTATTTTGAAATTGATATTCATTTCGAGATTCTGCTAGCTACCGTCCATCTCTTCTAGAAACACTTGTGACTTAGTGACAATATCGAAGTGATCCGTACAGAAAGCATAACTGTCAAAACAGACTGATTAGTTGTAGTCTCGTACATCGATAGGAAAATTCAGAAAGCGGGTACACACAAACTGAATAAATTTTTAACTTAAAAGTAATCTGGCAAATTGATTGGAAATTTAAGATGCCCTACCAAAACTTCGGCTATTTAAGTCGACGTGATGTACCTTTATTGCATAAAACCTACATACGTTTCGGCAAACATTTAAGGAGCGGTGATAATGGTCAAGATTTTCCTGTGATCTCAGATAAACTCTCGATGTTAATTAAACACTAGAATTTACATACTGCAATTACCGACGACGACGTGGAAATAGAAAATATGAAGTAAAGGTTGGGGTAAACTATAGGTGAAATTAATTCTCTTTCATTATAATCACATAGACGACATTTATACAGCAATACGGCCTAAATGCTTATCACAAAAACACTACGTGTTGTGAGCTAGACGAACATCCTGATATGCTCGATAGATGCAAGTGACGTTGTGAATGAATCTTAAAAATCACATCTAGAGAACTACTAACCCGCACTCATTTATACAATGTCCCCGTCTGTAAAGTATCAAACAGCTGTAGTTATTGATAGGCTAATAACATGGATTAGATCAGATGAAAATACAAGAAGTCGTGATTATTTTAGATGGATAGGAATAAACTGCGTGTAATTCATTATTTTGACTTACTGTTATAGGGTTTAGCTTTTTCTATAAAAGGTGCTTCGAAATTCGAAAAATCGAATTTAACATGCGCTGTATAGAATTAGAGAAGTTGAAGAAATAACAAACTTTAACATAGTACGGGATTACAACATTTGAATTTGTAATAATAAGGGTTTGAGATTCCTCATGGACAGTAACCAGGACCGAATGCGATGAACCTTTGTTACCACATGAGATTTGTTAATTAGGTTATGATATGTCCGATATCTTGAGATTCATGTAACTCTCATTTGTTTTGGCTCGTGATTCATCAGCTCAACTCACTTTCTCTCAGGGCTGATTTCCTCAAAGAAACTTCAATATGATTCCTTTCAAAGTGTTGATTTGAATCCGGGATTGGTGGTTTCGAGCCTCAGCGTGAACAATTCCATTATGATCGAGATCTATTCATACTACCAGTCTCAAGTAAGAGAAAATTGTATTCTTGAATTTTCATGTTAAACGAATACTTAATATCAGTG